CTTTTCCGGCAACACAGAAAGGAGAATTCTACTTAGTAAGGGTTATAATCCCTAAGCGCGGCCGAAGGCCGCCTACTCAGAAAGAAGTTCGTTTTCATGTATGCACTATTTCGGTTTTTGTCATATGCATTACTTCGGTTTTGAGTCGAAACTGTGCATGTATGCATTACTTCGGTTTTTGTCATATGCATTATTTCGGTTTTGAACCGAAACTGTGCATGTATGCATTACTTCGTTTTTCTCATATGCGTTATTTCGGTTTTCAAACGAAAGTGTGCATGTATGCATTATTTCGGGTTTTTCATATGCATTTTTTCGGTTTTCAACCGAAACTGTGCATATATGCATTATTTCGGTTTTTTTCGTATGCATTATTTCGGTTTTTTTCATATGCATTATTTCGTATGCACAGTTTCCATATGCACAATTTCAGGGTGCCCTATACAGATTAAAGTTTTATGAGTTTGAAACTCGAAAGGATAATATAGTCAAAGATTCAAAGTACAAATTTTTCATATAATGAAACTAGTTCATAGTTTTTCTCTTTTTACTTGTAATATAAACATTTCTAAAATAAATATATTTTTTTATTGTTCTTTGTATTTTCGGTCTTTTTTTAGTGCCTTATTTTGATTTTTTTGCAATACCTAGTGCCTTTTCCTGCCTTTTTCGCTATTTTATTTTGCTTTTTCCAGCCTATTTCGTTATTTTATTTTGCATTTTTTTATAGGTTTCTATGGTTTTATGGCTTCTAAAATAATGCAAAAAGCGCGATTTTTAGATATTTTGACCTCGTTTTTTTCCAAATCTAGAGCTGATGGAGACTTTATACTTACGGATTCGTAATCAGCATAAAAACTCTATCCAAAACAGCTTTAACATTTGATGCAACAAAATTGTTCCCCTTTTTTTGTTCCCTTGTGTAATAGATTGGCGCTTACACATATGTTAGTGTTTGGCCGAGCTTCTCCTCCGATTTGTGGCGTGCGCCTTGATGTTGTCACACAAAGGGAAGGGACTTACAGTTTTACGCTGTTTTTCTTGACAGAAATACACTCGGAGGTTTGCCGTTGCCTGTCGAGGGGCGACCGCTGTTAAGGATAAACCTTCTCTTCACTGAACAGGTACAACTTCTAGAAACACTAGTTTACTTATGTTTGTCCATACAATATAAAAATTGCAAATATAGGAAAATGACAAAAAATTTTGTTAAACATTTTTTTTTTAAATAATTTGTTTATAATCTGAATGATTTTCATCATATTATTATCATAAATCAGTAATAGCAAGTCTCGCCTTCAATTTGGTAATTATTACGTGCCGATCGAGTAACATTTACCAATGTTATATCGAAAAACTTAAGTGGATCTCCAGTTTTTTTCTAAAAAAAAAATCTCTTCAATTTTATAAATAACCTTTAAATGAAAGAACCGGATTACAGAAAAGTATGCCAGGGAGTAACTTTTTTCGTTCAAGCTGAATGCAAAGCAATATCGTCCAATTCGAG